CTCGGGCATAGTTCACCATCTTTCGGGTTCCAACACGTGCGATCTTGCTCGACCTCACCGACGCAGCGGACGAGATCGACCGGTGGTGCGCCCACCAGCCTCTTGCGAAGACAGGACGGGATCCCACTTTGGGCGAACCGGGTCGCCTTTCACTTCATTTTCACTGCGCCCGAGGGTTTTGCTCGACCCTGTGACTCGCGCACGTGTTAGACTCCTTGGTCCGTGTTTCAAGACGGGTCGGGTGACACTACGGGAGACGGCACTGAGGACAGTCCGGCCCATCCGCCGCGCACCGACGGCCGACGGTCCCGGCCATCCTTTTGGGAAAAAGGAGAGCGGGCACGTCATAGTCCTCGGTCCGGCCCCTAGCTCCCTGACTGTGCACAGGATTTAATGGGCGGAGCATGCGTACATACATTTGTACAAGTTACGTTCTTTCAAGATGGTCGTGAATGGCGGCATATTATAATGTGAATTATTTCAAAACTGTACAAAATACCATTTGTTGAGCTTGCGTGACAACTTACAGTGGCAGAGGTGGCGATCGCCCCCTAGAAAAAAAATGTCGTGGGGGCATCGTCCCTTCAAAATCAAGCTGAAACCCTTTGTGTCGGCAACATTTGCTCCTCGAAGTGCAGGAAATAGCGTTTCAGTGAGTCTAGATTTTAAAATGTTTAAGAGGGAGCATGCCCCACAGTAAGGTTGCGCCTTCGGCACAAGGTTGGTGAGCTAATCCCCCCCCCTCCATGTAAAATTTCGTGTCGCCGCCTCTGACTTAGGGTCTGAGTTTATAGAGGAGCTATTAGGTGCTGCACTGGTCGGACACCTGAGGAGCCTAGCCCTGAGTACCGTTCGGCCTCCGAATAATCAGCGGAAAGAAGTCAACCTACTGGACTGTACCCAGGGCTACTAAGGAGCCGTGGTAGACCCGATTGGGGGTTACTAACCTGGATTCCGTAGGAGTGTTTGACTTGACCAACAAAGATCGACGTTGAGGGCGCACACACGCTTAAAATTACATGTACTTCAACTATGCATTGTATTGCATGTGTACTTTGATTGTAGTTTTTAAAAAGCTTTAATACAGAAATTACCAAAATTGAAATGTCATGTAATAAAGCATTATTCTATTCTATTCTATTCTATTCTATTCTATTCTATTCTATTCTATTCCATTCTATTCTATTCTATTCTATTCTATTCTATGAGATTACGGGGGTGTCAGAGATGTATAGGACATCGTCTACGTTACAAATTTTAAGTCGCCGTATTGACAGTGGTTATTGCTGTGTCACGTTTTAGAATCTACGTGTTGATACATAACGATTCAAGTAGTTGACGAATACACTTAGTTCGAGGCTCCCTCGCTGGGCAACTTTCACCTCACATTTAAGGTAGCAGCAGGAGAAAAGCTAGTTAAAAATTGTTTTGTGGTCTAGACATTCTCTAAAAGTTACTTAAATCACGGAATTCCTACCATATTCATATACAGGCGAATATGGTAGTGCGTATGCTTTACAAATGTCTGAGGGATTACCTGACTGTCAATTTCATGGGTCAAGGAATGTATAGTTTAAAGCGCGGTGATCGTCGCGCAGCGCGTGTTCGAATTTCATATAAATAAACAATGTATTTTACACGCGTTGTATACGTCGCTATGAGTCCCATATCGAACAGGTCGCGGCACGACGACTGTCGCTCTTTAACGCTTCGTGAGGCTCTGGTCCCACGTTCATTCTGGAATGTTGTTTTTTCGAACATCCCGTGCAATTCACGCGTCATTAGCGTCATTAGGTAATCCCTTAGTTTAACATTGGTCAGACATTTCTACTTGCAGTTGGGATTCAAATGTTGCACTTCTGACATGTTTAGGACATAAATGCAATGCATTCTGGGATATTACATGTCATGTTCGTTATATATTCATGCCATTACGATACCGGACAATTATTCGAAATAAAAGATTTCAATATGTCCCGGAAAAGGGTCGAAATGGACATTTTTACACGAGATTATTTCTTCATTTCTCAAATATGTTCTTGTTATTCGGTGTAATGATATGATATGAAAAAGTCGTATATTATTATTGATATCGGATCCTAATATTCAAATTGCTAACCTGGCAGTTCCAGTAAACGGGTTTAGATCAAGTCCCGTCGCAGGTTGGTGTAGGACTGAAACAACATACATGTACTAGTATACTGTAGACAAAGATCCAAGACTCGAAACATGATTTCCGGAGGCAATCCACTACCAATATATATTTCAAAGCGACACGCTTATTAAAAAAAAACTTTTTTTAGTAACCCGTGGCCGTGGATATGATCGCGTGGTACCACATCATACTAATGTTGGGAGTGTCTTTACCAAACAATAATGGACGTTATATGTTAGGTAGTCTTTCTTCCAGTCTCTTGCCGATGCGCCAACATGATTCGACCGTTTGTGTGCAGGCTGTGTACAATACCAAATACCTTTGATAGGTGTTAACAAACAAAAACGGCAACTATATACGCAGACTGGAAATCGATTTTTTATATATGGTAGATAATTGTGCAAAACTATACTCAAAATTTTTCTACAAGTAACACAATAGCGCATACTGTTTCCTATGGTCTATATAATATGACTTCGACAACTATAAAACATCGCATTCACATTTCCATTAATGGGCGGCAGTCGTCGCGCTGCGCATGTGCGACATTTGTGTTGATAAACATTGATTTTCCCACAATCCGATGCACTCTTCTAATGGAAATCACAAGTATACGGTTTGACCTGGGCGCGACTTGCACTAAATACCGCCGGGGACTCCTTCGACTTCTTTCAATCACCTAAAAAATACCCAATTAAAGCTTGGTAACGTCCCAGTTTGTACTCGTTGATCTGCGCAACAGTCAAAGTCGCCATCTTTGTTTATATGAGACCCATATATCTCGCGCATGCGTGGCGCGTCGACTACCGCCCTTTAAATGGCGCTAGCTGTCACCACGGGCCTTATGAGAACGCGCTAACTGAACAAGTAAAGTTGATTGGCACGGCAGTGCTGTAGATACATGGACTGTATGACCAGCTCTGCCATGCCAGTTAATTGTGGCTACCGGCTATTTTTTTTTCCTCCACATTTCACACGCATTGTATCTGAACACTACACAGCGTGGCGACTGTCATGGTGGCGCTCTCAGTCGACGTGACAAATCAATGATCACTGCGTTTTCCCAACCACGACGTGTGGTATCGCCCAAGGTACTCGGATATTTTCCGGTATGTGACCAAAGTCAATGTCAATGAACATTTTCAGGGCAAAGACAAAAGTTTTTGCTTCTGGGAATATAGCTTTTTCGATCATTATTCCATTTTCTGATGTTGGGGTGGTTGAATGTTGGGTGTGCGTTTTATTTGCGTTGAAGTGATACCTGTGCACTCGTTTCAAGTTATCTGGTCTGATTTTAATCAGCTGTTACTCGTGAGAGGAAAGCGGGTCAGTAATTAATGTCAGAGACATGTTAATAACAAGAATTTCGATATACGTCAGATGTTTTTTTCTTCTTCTTTTCTTTCGAGTACCCATATATATGTACTTTCACAATATCACAGAGTACATACACGATATGTACTTGACTCAGATGAACTCAGGGTGACCTTAAACGAGTTGTAAGTTTAGATACGCCGGTGATATGTGTCGCGGTTTGTTAACTGTGACTATTGCATTAATATGTATGGGTTCCACGTCGGAGCGTGCCTGTGGTCCGCCGCTGCCACATGGCTATTACTAGCTGACAAGAGTGACTGTGATTACCGCGTTCGATTTCCATTATCGGTGAATTTAGAGTGACCATCGATTTACCCCGTCGTGTAAATAAAGTTGACTCTCATGATCGAGCTTTGTGCAGAGAATATAGACCGACATAAAGGACTCTCTTGTATTTTGTTTTATGTGCGAAAATTGGTGGAACCGGCTGGAACAAATTTGCCCCGTGAAGTCAACCGAAAGAAATGTTCTGTGGTGATGAGAATAGAGTAAAACGGGTTATTATGGTATGTTACGCCAGAGCGCACACGGAGACTGTGTCTAGTTGTCCAGTCCGCAATTACAAGTGAGTGGGAAAATGGGGGACAAATGAAAAGAGAACTCGGAAATAAAAGGCAAGTTTGAAATCTGATCAGCAAAGTAATTACTGTAACAGTTCACTTTAATAGGCAAGAAAAATTTGACAAGCGCTTCAAACTCTGGTTATTACCAAATGAAAGGCGACTTGCCCACATTCGATGAACTCGATTGAATACGTCGGCAGGTGAAATAAAATAAACGATGAGCGAGCCTTATGCACACTTTGTTTGACAATTGAATTGCGCCTCCCGAACCGTAGACTAGTCCGCAGTTCAAGCGATGTTCAACTAAATTGCAGCATAGCAGAACTCGAACTCTTTAAGTCTAGCGGATGAAATCACAATCACCCCTTTAACTTTATGCCGTGCCTTTTGATTGCCTTGAAAATTGCTGTCGTGGCCAAATATCCGTAAAGACCAGCTGGAGCGCCGTCTTGCGGCTCGCCGAAGAACCCTATCAATTTCTCGCTCTATTGTTCAGAAAGTTTTCTAGTGGGCGATTCCATTCTGCAAGACAAATGATGGGGTGTTATGCATTCGGTCGCAATTTTAACGAGGGGATTACATAAATTACACGATTCGTAATTAAATTTACGAAATTGATCAAATTCGAAATTACTATTTAATTCAAATTAATGAAAGAAATAAGCAAACAGTCTATGATACACCAACGAGTACTGTACAGCGACCCCTGCCATAAAATATAACATACCTTACCTCCAATCTCATTTAGCTACAATGTCATAGTTTCTGGCACAAGTTTAACTAAAACTTGAGGCATGCGTTTTTCGCGTGCAATTTAAAAAGTTCACCCCTGAAGGGAACATCCGAGCAAGAGTGATCGCTGCCCGTTCTTGTGATCTATCAACTCTCTTCTTCGGCTTTTCGAGATGATCCAACCTGGCAGAAGTTTTGCTGCTCCCGGCTTTCCCCTTGAAGGTGAGATATATTGAAACAACAGATTAGTTTGCGACAATCGCGGTATAAGGGATTTCGCCAATCGCGAGAAAGACGACTGTGTTTGAAGCGTGATTGACCGTGAAATGTATTTTTCCTTTTTCCCAGGGGTTGAGTACCCATAAAAATAAAATTCTCCGGGGTTGATTTCTTTCCTCCGGGGAGATGTGATAGTTTGCGAAGGCCTCGACGATGATGTCTGACACTAAACTGAACTTGACCGTTTTCTTACGTGCCCCAATCCGGTATACGCTGTGATAATAACAATAAATTTATAAAAACAAAAACAAAAACAAACAAACAAAAACTTTGAGATATATTGTTAGCTGATAACACGTTGAGTAGTAGAAACCACAATCACACAAACCGGTCGCATCAAACAAATAGACTTCTTGGCGACAACTTGGCGAAATAATTTGTAGCAAAAATATGATTGGCAGTTGCTTCACGGCAATCAATAAGCCCGGGTCGGATGTAACCGTTGCGTTGTTTTGAAATGAACAGGAACCGTTTTCTGTTTTCCGGTTGTACTACCTGTTACCCTCATGTCGTCCTCTTTTTTTTCAGGGCAGGGGCGAATGAACCAGCTTGGGGGGTTGTTCATCAACGGCAGGCCGCTGCCAAACCACATTCGCTACAAAATCGTAGAAATGGCCCACCAAGGAATAAGACCGTGTCAGATCAGCCGTACTCTTCGAGTTTCTCACGGCTGTGTGAGCAAGATCCTCTGTCGTTACCAAGAGACTGGCTCGATTAGACCGGGCACAATCGGTGGCAGTAAGCCCAAGGTCGCAACGGTCGAGGTGGAGAAGCGGATCGAAGACTACAGAAAGGATAACGAGGGAATTTTCAGTTGGGAAATCCGGGAAAGATTGTTGAATGAGAAGATATGCGACCAACAAAATGTGCCAAGCATCAGTTCTATCAGCCGGATTTTACGCCACGGAAATGGACGGCATAAAACAAACGAACACGAGAAGGTCTGTCGAGCTGATGGAAATGCAGAAAGAGCGAAAAACAGCCACAGTATAGAAGGAATTTTGAATAAAAGAGGTGAGTTAAATGTTGGGTGTTCATACCCGAATCACCGTCAACTAGCATATAGACAGTTGATACCGAACGGTCGCCGGTGATTGCCGTTTGATAAACTTCAATTTAAAATTTCGAAAAACACTTGTTTATAACTATCAAATTTATTTCTCGTCTTTCCAGCACCTTTTTACATTAATGTTGTTTTCCACTCGGCTGCAGTTTGCCGGATTTCGCGTAAATATTCGAATGTCTGAGTGGACAATTGAAAAGATGCCCGGTGCCTGAAACCAGTCAGACTCCCTGGGGCATTTCAAAATTTATTGATAAAATTAAGCATTTTCAAAATCATAATAACTGTTTTCCGATCAAAGAACCACTTGATTATATTCGAACGTATCATTATATATATTTTGCTCAGTCCAGTTACTTTGATCGTATTGACTTGTTTTATATCAACAAGACGGTCCATACCAGCGTATCAGCACCGTGAAATTGTTGTTTGTCCACCCAACCCACCGGTTACTTCTGAAATTCCAATGCACATGCATTCAGAATGTTTAACGTTAGACCCCCACCAATTATACAACGCATGATCGCTTTATTTGTGTACATACTTCACAATTACCTCCGAATTCTCTGTCTGGAGCGCGTTTTAGACATTTTTTTTGACTTTTAGGTACAACTTTTCAAGTAGCTATGCTTTTGATTCGCACACAAAAGTTATATAGGCGTTTAGTGAAAGGACAAACAAAACGCTTTCTACGGTGTTTGCCCGGAGCTTGTCGTGGGATATACTCACAAAGGCAGCTCTAAAGAGCTAAGGAGGCACTTAGATTTGAATAGCTAGGCTTGTTGTGCTAGATTGTAGATCGCCTTGATAAAAGAAACAATAACTTAATTAAATGGAGTCTACCCAGACATTTTGTTTTTATGGTTTTATTTGATGTTTTACTACTATCATCAGGGATTGAAATAGAATTTTTTCCCTGCATGCACAGTGTGCATGTTGAATTTGAAATTTACCTGCACTAACTTGTTGTGAAATGCACCACTTTTAAAGTTTAAATAACATTTACGGTTTATCGATTGATGATTGATTTTTTAGTTGTCTTACAATGTTGGTTGAACTTAATTTAGGAATATAATGAGAAAATGTGTTAATTTCTACATGCACAGCGTGCACATTATATTTTGAGTTTACTTGCACTAGCTAATAATCTATGTGCATAGTGCAGTGTGCACCAGAGTATTTCGACCCCTGATCATCCAACAAACCCATTCAGTTTCTTCATTTTCTTTAAATATTTATAAATTTCACAATTCAAACTGAAATGAGATGTTTATATTGGCCGATGGAATTAACAATGATTTTTTTAAAATTATGTCATTAGCCACTGCACTCGTTAATTGGGTGGTTAGATTAACCTGCCATTGAAATTTATAAATATTCATAAATAAAAATGAAGAGAATGTTTTTGTTGTGTCGATAGTATTATTTTAAGAAGGGATTATGGTTATTGGTTATTCAGAAAATAATTATAAAACATTTATCCAAGTGAATCCCAGTGCTTCATTCAAATCCAAAGATGCTTCCATCTGCTAGAGAACCCATTTGATAATGCCCATATTAACCATGACGGAGTCTTTGCATTTTTTTAAGCCATTGGCTGATTTCAGACCATGCATCCTAAACATGTGATGATTGGTCTAGTAGTTTTCAATCGTCATCTATTATAAAACACTTATAAATCTTAATATAAATTAGTAAGTTAGTATCCAATATTTCCTTAATTTAATCAACTAAGACCTAGTCATTCACTTCAGAAGTACAAAAAATACAACATTGGTTAAATGACCATAGCTAATTTGCATAAAAATATATTACTTTTGAGCTGATTCGCATGAAATCAAATATGTAAGTAGAGTCTAGACTCCACCCATATTGTTAAATACATGCTGTGTTTATCTATCCCATAATGCCAGTTGACCTTTGACTTTTTCGCGGGAACGAGGCACAGCTGCATGCGTATGTCTATCCAAATCTTCTTTGCCCATTTTAAAAGCTGAATTGCTATTGCTTTCAAGTGAATAATACTATGTTTGCTTTATTAAAAGCCCATCTCCTGCTCCAGCGTACATATAGTAGACTGGATTATTAAAATATGACTCATTTTGATCATAAACAACCATCGTTATTTACATGCGCAAACAAATATGGTATCTCACTGAATTAGGAATTAAATTGAACAGGTTTGTAGGTTGTAATCACAATAGATATACAGCCATGCAACACACATGTATGGGTACAGATTTAATTTATTGATTGCAGTTCAATTAAGGGGGGGATGTTCAATGTATGGAATAGCCAGTTTGCATGATAAATGTTTTGATTTTAAATACTTCCCTACAAGTTTTGTAACGTATACAGTGGGTATTTGGGGTGCAGAAAATTAATTATTAGTTTTTCAAACTCGTACTAAAATGGAGAATATTTGAACAAATGCTTAGCTTGAAAACGGTCTGTTTCGTCATATTTGGCGAGTCACTGACCAATGTTAATAAGATTCCTACCTTGAATTGGGGCGCTTTTTGGTATGGAGACAATTAAGTTAGTTTCATACTTCAACAGATGAAGAACCCGATTACGAACCTGAACTTCAACCGGATCTCCCGTTAAAGCATAAGCAGCGACGTTGTCGAACGACATTTACATGTGAACAGTTAGAGCAGCTGGAGAAAGCATTCGACCGAACGCATTATCCTGATATTTATACCCGAGAGGAATTGGCGCAGAGAACGGGACTGACAGAAGCCAGAGTACAGGTGAGACACTAAGTACCGTACCTTTTGCACCATTGCATTGTGGGAAACCATTATCTATAAACTCTATCGTTCGTTCCTTGCATCCAGTTAATTGATTAATTGAGAGATTAAGTTTATGTTTAATTGGTGACTTGCTTCCAAATTGCAAGCAATTTCTTGAGGCCTTAAGTTCTGGTTATGAGAATGAATAAATCAATAAATTTTGTTATCAAACGCTTGCATAGTAATATGGTAGTCTAGACTACCACTATTTTCACTTTATCTATCCACATCGTGAATAGAAAGACAATCTTTATCCATCTTAGAAAGAAAAAGAATGAATTGATGTTAATATGTTTTTTTTTCGTTTTAGGTTTGGTTTAGTAATCGCCGTGCCCGTTGGCGGAAACAAGCTTCTTTTCTCCCATTGAATGGGTATAGTCCATGGTATCCTATGGCAACCACCGGCTCAGTCATGCCTGTCTCTGCTGGACCACCTTGTGTGCTACCAGACACTATGCATAGTTTTCCCTCGCAAGGTAGGTATATATACGTGTTATTGTTGACAACTTATTAATATCTTGGCCGATTATTGCTAATTTTGTTTTGTTTTTTGGAGCTAATTTTAAAATATGTATCAGGGATATTGACATGTATAAAAGAATCAAAGCATCTCTCGATGGGGTCTTTTATCACCCAAATAAATTTTGAGCAGTGTAGTTAAAAAATAAAAAAAAAATAAAAATAAATGAATAGTGAAATAAATAATAAACCCAATTTGTGTAGATATATCATATTATTTAGGTATACATACTGTAAACCATATATTTTTTGCAGCTGGTATTTTTCATGATTTCACGATTTTATAGCATTGTGAAGATAAAATTTGAAAGTCACTAGAGCACTAGCAGGACCCAAGGAATTGTCGCTGACTCAAAATTTGTGGAAGTTTGTCTCGCATGAAATCAAAGTGTGATAGTATTTTATCAAATTTCACGATAAATACTAATTACTCTGACACAGGAACTTCTGGAGCTGTATTCTTTGGGTGCATGACAATTTGAAAATCATGAAGAACTACAGGGTAGCCAAACTAGTTTTCAAATTACGAAGCACAGTTATTCTTGAGCAGAGCTACATTTGTCACAGAACGTTCTACGTTTGCTAAGACGTGCACCAATGTACCATGTATTTCTATGAGCTCTGCACAATCTGCTGTGGAACGCCGGTCGTCATAGAGATGGTGAAAACAGTTGAAGTCGAAAAAAGAACACAAACTCTTGCAACTTTGACACACTTTGATTTATATATATTGCACATGTAGGGATATTCTTACACTGTTTTAGCAGTTTTAGCAACTAGACAAAAATACAGTTTTCAAGGCTTTATGTTAACTAGTTGTAGTTGACAGGCGAAAATGCCCGGATGTACGCCCCAAGAATATGTATTCTGACCAATTTGCAATTCAAAATGGCCACCAGAGCAGGGTTTCCATGGAAACAAGTTTGCTTTCTGTCTTTTATTTATGAATTCTATTACCAAAGAGTAAATAATATATCTTGAATTTGTAGTGTGCTTATTTTATTCCATAACCTGATTTTAATTTTTCAGATTTTTCATTCCTGCCTCCATCTCATCCGAGCAGACTGTATCAAAATAGTTTTTATACTCAGTATAACCCACCAACATTCAGCCTGCCAAGTATGCCAGACCTGTCAACTGGAAGTAAATCTGTAGTCAGTGGACCAGTACACCAACATGTAAGCATAAACCTTTGTTTTTTAATGATGTAATCATATTGACTCCTTAGGTATGAATAAAAAATATATTAGAATGACTACCTAGGTCTGCATGAAATGATAGATTAGAAAACTACCTAATAAAGCTGCCTATCTAAATGATTGATTAGAGGTATGCTTTCGAAAACATTTGAAAAAAGTATGGATAAGGAAGAGTGATGTTTTGGCTATTTGTCGTCTTGATTTGAGTGAGCAATAGGAAAATGAAATGATCACTCACACCTTGTGTATGTGATTTTTTGAGGGTTTAATATTAACACACAAAATCACACAACTCTAGCTGGTAATTCAACTAAATTGGTCGTGACTCTTAAAACCCAATCTCAGTTGAGAAATCCAAATTAACATACAAATAGTGCAATTCTTTGTGTGCTTATTGAATCAATTGATAAGTAATTATATAAATTACCTTAACGAGAGTGGGATAATGAGGATACTAGATTGGGAAAGGGGATAATAAGAAATACTAACGTAGTTCTTCACCAATACAATGTGAGTCCTGTTAGAGAGAATTCTCTACTAGCATCTGGAATGAAATTTGTTGCCATTCCAATGAATAAAAGAAACAAACTAAATAAAATATACGTAAGCTTGTCTGACTGAATAAAATCTAGTTAACAGGTGCGCGCATCGATTACATTTGTATTTTCATCATTGGATAGTTTGAATGTTCGTGCCATTATCCTGAATTACTAGAGAATTTGAAATATGGTTTGACAAGTCTGATTATTTGTGAATAAAGACGATATATAGTATTAATTGTTATATTATGTAGTAAAACACTATGTGGTACTTTGAGGGCATTTTGTTTTTTGCCAAATAGTGAAAATTTAAGAATTAGTACTCTTTTAAGTTACACTCTGATAGCATATCTAAAGCTTTAGTGAAATATGAATTGAAATATTTTAAGTGAAATGCATTATGGTCTGAATTTGTATAGTTTAGGGGAATATGGAATTAACATCTAATGCTATTTAGTTTTATCCAAATCCCAATAAAGCACTACATGTACAAATATTCCATGAAAGCTCCCAGATTGGTAACTCTCAGAATGCTCCATGAATGGTATCAGAATGCTGCATAAAGGCTCTCACAATGTTCCACAAATGCTCTCAGAATACTTTCAGAATTTGCCCAATGTTGCTACATGAATGGTTTCAAAATGAACACCCTGTGAATGCTCTCAGAATGCACCATAAGAGCTCCATGAATGTTCTAAAAATACTCTCAGAATGTTCCAGGAATGCTTTCCGAATGTTACATGAATGCTGTCAGAATGTTTCACGAATGCTTTCAGAATGTTTCACGAATGCTTTCAGAATGTTACATGAATGTTTAATTCATAAATACTCCATGAATATTCCATAATGTTCTCAGAATATTCCATGAATGCTTAAAATGAACGCCCTGTGAATGCTTCCTGAATGTTCATAAAAGCTTCATGAATGTTCCCTAAATGCTCTCATAATACTCACAGAATGTTTCATGAATGTTCTCAGAATACATTCAGAATTTTCCATGAATGCTCTCAGAATTCCCCCAATGTGCTACATGAATGCTTTCAAAATGAACACCCTGTGAATGCTCTCAGAATGCACCATAAGGGCTTCATGATTGCTCCATGAATGTTCTCAGAATACTTTCTGAATTTTTCATGAATGCTTTCAAAATGTTCCATGAATGCTCCACGAATGTTCCATGAATGCTTTCAGAATATTACATGAATGCTTAATTCATAAATATTCACAAAATGTTCCATGAATGCTTAAAATGAATGCTCTGTGAATGCTTTCAGAATGTTACATGAATGCTCTCAGAATGCTTAATTCATAAATACTCCATAAATGTTTCATACATGTTCTTAGAATGTTCCATAAATGCTCTCAGAATACTCTCAGAATGTTCAATGAATGCTTTCAGAATGTTACATGAATGCTTAAAATAAACGCCCTGTGAATGCTTCCTGAATGTTCATAAAAGCTTCACGAATGTTCCATGAATGCTCTCAAAATGCTTAATTCATAAATACTTCATAAATGCTCTTAGAATGTTCCATATAGGCCTGTGAATGCTTCCTGAATGCAATCACATACATAAATGCTAACAAATTATCACAATTGTAACTCATTAAATAAAATGTCAACTGTTTGAAAATATAAGTGTTCCTTTTAATCTCATGATAAAAAAACAGTTAGGCCCATGTCACCAAGCAAAATGAACATGAAATATTATCACCATGGCAACCGATACAATAACAATGTTTACTGATGTTTTCTTATTTCTCATTTTAGTTCATGTTATTTATAAATTGCACAGTAATAATCTGGTTCTATGTTTTGCATATAAATGGCACAACCCCAAGACTACATTTCTAGAATACTCAATTTATTTTTACTTAGACTAGCTTGCTCAAAAAATTGAGACTTTTAGGTACAATATGCTGACTTCGGGTAGGGTTAACAGTTTGAGTAAATAACCTTAAGGAGAATTTACAACACATACCTTCAAGTCGATACTGAACTTAGGATAGTATGTCATATTGAATACTCGTGTCTATGCACTGGCATTGTCTTCATGGAACAATGCTTAAATAAAAAGTTTCCACAAACATCTGGTGTTTGCATTGCATGTGCTCCCTGTCTGTAGCAGAGAATGGAAAATTCTGATTGCTTGTCCAGCTGTCTTTGTGTAAATCTGCATATTAAGTAGTTTTTATGCATATGAATTGAAGTGATGGTTTTCAAAGTTTAGCATCATTCAGTATTAAATATTAGGCAACTTATTTTTGATCGTCTTTGATGAATTGTGGTTTGATTAAAGGTAATCTTGCAGACTAATACATGCTAGAAAGAGAGCTATTGTTTTTTGCCACAGTTCGATTTTTTCGAGTACCATAATTCATTTCATTTTGTATATATTTTTAAAATTATTTTATTTAATTCCTTTGTTTAATCTTGCGTCAAATGAATATAATTTTCCCTTGGCTATACTATGAACGAATATGCAAACGATAATTTGTGAAAAATTACTTTTCATTTTCCTCTTCAAAATTTTTGCGAAACGTTTTGCCAATTTTGTCTATTTTAAGATCATGTTGAACTACATATATTTCAGTTTTTATTAGCTATTTTTCTTGATCAAAATTTGGAAAAAGTGTTCAAACCTTTATGTAGGTTTGAATTTGTGTTGAATAAAATTTGACTTTGTGATAAAAGATTTAAAGGATTTCAAATGGTGAATATAATAAGCACATCAACTATTTACAGTTGTTAGAAATAATTTCAAAAATATTTCAAACATTTATTTCTCTCAAATAAAATAGTAGTAATGGTTCAATTAACAATGATTATATTACTTTTTGATGACTTGTTGCTATGGCAATGCAGCACATATTTAGGATACTAATTTGGTTAAAATAAAAATAAAAAAAATAATATTTTTAGCAATTGTTGTAAATAATGTTCTTTGATTATTTTGTGCCAAAAGGACATTAATTTTCATTGGCTTCAGCTTTTGGTCAGTTAAGAAAAAAAAAATATTTATGCAGATTTGTTCAACTGTAAATTTACTTTGGTGTTAAGGGTTAATTTCAAGATAGACAAATTCACAATGTACAATCACAGTTGTGGTTTTCTTGTGAATTTGTGTTTGTCATGGAGATTGCATCCTAACATTACTTTAATTTAAACAAAAACTAATATTTGGTCCCAACATACATCTTGTACTATGCACTATATAGAGTGTATTGAAACAAAATACCATGTGTCCAGTGAAAGTTTTTCATACCTTTAACACTGGAATCTTTTTCAGCTCGTCCATCTGATTTGTCCATATCGTTTAGCTTGCGGCTTCTATATATAGCATACTTAAATGCTTTGACCAAATGTCCATACGAAAGACGCCATACTCATGGCTTTCCTCCTTAAAACAACATTTATCTTAGCAGAAAAGAAAACCACTAAAGTCAAGTTAACAAAACAATTTTGTTATTTGCGTTAAAGAATGAGGGCTGTTGTAATTATCGCTACGCTAAAAGGATCAGCGTGTCCCGATGTACACGATGACCTGGAAGGCTTACGGTCGAGAGTTTGTGTTTTGAGGGTCGAGTGCATTGGTCAAAGAAACTACGGTGAATGTATGGAGAGAGTGAAACCAATGGAATTATACTATGTAACACGACCTTATAGGAACATACTAGCTGCGGGCATTGTATACAGACATGTATTCACAATCGTAACTGCCTTAGTTAAGGTGTCTTTGTACCATCGATCTCTGTATTAGGCTGAGAAAGAAAGAAAATTGTTTTTGATTCTTGTCCAAGAAAGAATTGAAAAATGATTACAGTTTTAATATATTTAGTTATTAAGATAACTAATCATTGAAACAAATCTATGTTCAATGTTTAACATTTTATTAAATAATGCATTGAATGTTGATTTAATCAACAAAAGCATTGAACAGGGTGTTAGCCAGCCACCAGTACATTGTCCACCCACCAAACAGACTGGCAACTTTGATTTTGGACTGGCAACTTTTCTTTGATAATTTTACCAAAATATATCGAAAACCATCTACATTTTCATGAAGTTAAATTGTTTTGGATTGGCAGTTCCTGGCATTGAGCAAGGTGGTTTACTCATGCTAAACAAAAAACCTTACCCCGCTCAGTCTGCCTCTCACTTTTTTTTTATTTCATGGAATATTATTTCTCAATTGAAATCACTCCCATCAGTGCTTTCAGAAAAGCTATCGCTATCCAGTCATTTTCAAAAGGCATGTCTAAACACTGGTGCATGAAATTGCAAAACAGATGTGTGAAGTGCAGATTTCCAACTGATGCAAATAATGATGAGAAACACAACCTTTTTTATTTATTTACTCCCTTCAGTGTTGAGCATGATGAGCATGTACAGGTTTTTTGTCGAAATTTGAAGAAAAAAAATATAGTATAATTTGTAATAACTATAGCAAATGCATCAGGAAATAAAATCTTTAAACTGAGCATGTGCAAATAGGCATGGATAAAATTAGAGAAACAAGATCTGCAGCAATGGCCGAGACCACAGTATGTGACTATAGAATATATGTAATAATAAGTTCAATTTAAATTAAATTTTGCGCATTTCTACAGTATCCACAATAGAAAATGCATGAGAGCATCCATAGACTGCTCCCATAGAACATATTCTTAGGTAAAAAGGATATGAAATAGCTTGTTGTCAAAGAATCACATGTTGTGAATCCAAATACTGCAGATTATTATACATCTGACACCAATAGCAATAGAATTGACCAATCGGTAAAATACCATATGTATGTGTTCAAAAGTGTTGAAGACACGTTTACATGTCTTTCCTACATAGAGATTGTGCGTAAAATTTATGTAACATTTGAATACCCCCCCCCCTTATAGACTGGGAACAGAATCCCATCACTGAACAAGCAACGTTTGCACAGTGTAAAATGCAAAATAAGGTTATCGCGATAATACCACTAAGTATGCATTCAAACAGTGCAAATCAACATCCGCTAATGGTAATCTTAGTCGATACAACTTCCTTTGTGCATACTTTGTAATATTCTTGGTACCTTTAATATTATATTGCACTGTTGTTTATATCATTATGAATATATCTTTTATATATTATAGGTGTATCAGGGTCAGCCAGAATACGTCCAATCATCATTATGCAAGAATCCCATTGTTATGAACCGTCCAATCATACCACCTGTTTCAAAATCTCCAGTATGCAGCCTCCCTATGATAGTGAATCATCCAATGACACCAACCGTAACAAACACACCCTGCCAACCGTTTCCATCACCTCCATGGGTGCACACCATGCCAGCTGGGGGACAGGAGCCGTATCAGCAAGTCTCACAGTTCAGCCCAAAGCATGGTTTGTACTCGTCTTTTATGTAACAATCACATTCCACCAATAGGCCATATGCATGACCTCCAAAAGGTCACACATCCTGGTACTTTCTGGGGGTACAAATTCACTATCAATTCAAATTTAATTATTATTTTCTCAAAAAAAGGCAAGCAGTTATCTTTGAAATTCAAAAAAAGTTAAACATGGTAACAATTGATGTATATTATTGGAAATTCTTGCTGTGATGGAACAAAATATCCCCTGAAAGTACCAGGATGTGTGACCTTTAGGGGTCATGCATAAGGCCAATTGGCTGCACAATTTTTTTCATTTATGATATCGTAATGGCATTAAATCATAATAATGAAAACATGAATGATGGGATACAACTTTTAAACAACTTTCTATGGTAATGACAAAATAGTTAAACTGAAACCAGATATTCACTACATGTCTTCCTCTAATATACATGTATATTGCACTAACAGTGCCACCACATGGTCAACATCACTATACTTTTGTTTTTATTGTTAGAGGTGTAGATGGTACATTTTATAATGATTATAAAACGAATCACACATAGATGGAGATCTAGTTGAGTGGATGCTTTAATCGAATACTGCCACCACATGGCCAACATTACCATACTTTTGTCTTTATTGTTAGAGGTGTAGATTGTACATTTT